ATACATACATACATACATACATACATACATACATACATACACACATACATAATACGTATATACATACATATGTACATTTGCACACCAATAAGATGTGCGATATTATGTAAGTCAATTTGTGTTCTTTATATCCTGCAGATTAAAAGATGAGATGTTGTTCCAGAATGAGGAATATCAAAAGAGACATGACAACAAAAAATAATACTGAAACCTTGATTAGATCCTGGGCAGAGACAAAAGTATGAAGTAAATATTGGAGTTGTTATGCCTCTGCGAAAGGCTGCCAGGAGCAGACCTGTTGATTATTAATGAAGGGAGGTTAGGGAGGGTCAGTGAACCCTCACCACAGAGTCCCGCTGCTCCTCCACGCCATATGTACGCAATTCTGCCCTAATTGCACATAGCCCCTGTGGGCTTGGGTGATATGAGAGTGTATAGCCTGCAGGGGGTTAACTGAGTGGGCATTGCCTATATGGCTGTGGGGAAGCCATCATGTTGGGTGAATACTGCAGCTGGGTTTCTTTGGGGTAGCCATGTTTTGTAAGTCTAATAATCTCACTGGCCCCTTAGGGTGAGCTTTGGTCAAGTGTACTTCTTTGGTTTGTCAGTGGGACCTGCTGTGGGGGATGGAGCTTGGAGGATTTCATTTTTTTAAATACCCCCTAGGGAAGGAATTATTTAAATGGTACAATTTGGGGAAAATTTAGAGTTGACATTACACAATGTTACTGATTCATTACTGCGTTGCTGAAGCTATTGTGATAACAGTGACACGGAAAAATGTCCCTGCTCTGAGGAAATGCAAGAATTTTTTTACATTTACTTTTTAAAAATGGGTATTATGTTTTGCAAACAGTTAAATGGGGGAGGGGGAGCACTAATGCAGGCAAATGTTAATAACCAAAGAATTGAACAAAAGTGTGTACAAGTGTTTATTTTGATATTTCAACTTGTCTGAAGTTTTTAGGATGGAAAATCAGAAAATAAATGACAGGGCCCAGGGAGCCTTCTGGGGGAGTTTGTCACGATCTGTTTTCAAATGTGAATGATCGTGAAAAGGGGTCTTCAGCTTGCAATACGTCACTCGCGCTATGTACACCGTTCTGTGCACATGCTATTTGTCAGTCAGAATGTTTTAAAACCATGCCATATAGTTGAGCAAGAAATGTCCTTGGGTGATTTATTGTCATGCCCCAGTAGGAACATATGCCAGGGTTCAGTGCTTAGGGAGTGTGAGGATTTTACCAGGTAATCAGACATTGGCTTTCCTTTCCTTTGTTTTACACAACAGATTCTGAAATTTAACATTCAAAATGTGATGGGAGACAGCAGGGAAGAGGGGCAGAAAGATGAGAAGGCCGAGGGAGAATGACTCACTTAGGGTGTTGGGTGGCTTCAAGTTCACATTGTACTGAGAACTATTTTTTTTGGGGGGGGCAACCATCTAAAACCAGGTTTAGAAGTCAATATTGATTTAGGTGGAGTCCAGAAAGATGGTGGTCTGAAATGAAAGCATCACCATCTTGGTGAGAAATCTGTCTGGAAAACTTGAGCTCTTCTTACTTCGATTGCATTGTATTTGAGCCAGCACAGGTTTTACAGGATTCTCGTTGCTCCTCCCAGGTGCCTCCTGGGAATGACAATTTTTTTTTCATTAGGAAGAAAAACCCTGTCTGTCTCTAAACAGTGTCTCAAAGGGGACCACCAGGTCTCAGCACTAGTATTATAGAGAAAGAGAACTAAGGCAGTCTCTGTAACTTGTTCCTGTTTAAAAGTCACATACCAAAGAACTCACGTGTGTCAAGATCGTGTAACAGCTTGCAAGGGACCACATGGCTTCACTGAGCCTTCCAAACAGCCTCCTGGGATAGGAGGGACTGTTTCCCTCTTCCAACTGACAGCGTTCCCTCTAGTTTACCCAGAGTATATCCTGAGCTGGGAATTAAATGCAGGAGGGTTAGTTCCTCAGGCTCAAGCTCTCACCTTAGCACTCAACAGCACCAGCCAACTGGAGTTCTTCTGCTCACAAGATGGGCTGTCCAAATGAAACGATGGCTCTCTAAAGACTAGAGATCTGCTGTCTGCTTTTCATGCCTCTAATAAGGGAGATGAAATACTGGAGGGCTGAGTTTTAGAGTCAAGATTGTGTAAAGCAGGAAGGAGAGAATCATGGTGCTCCAGTCCAGGCTTTCTACCAAGGTCCATCTTTCCTGTCGACTCTCCAGGTCCTCAAAGTAGAGGTGGGAAAATGATAAGGTGTGGGGGTGGGGGCGGGGGCCTGGGATTGTAACTCGGTTGGGAGAGGGCTTCCTTGTATGCACAAGCCCTGGGTTCAACCTTAACACCTTGTAAAACCATGTATATTGACTGCATGATGTAATCCCAACACTTGGGAGGTAGAAACGGGAGCATCAAAAGTTCAAGGGCACCCTTGGCTACATAGTGGGTCCAGGGCCAGCCTGGGCTACAAGGAACTCTGTCTCAGCAAAACAATACAAGTAAAATAAGAAACACAGAGGGGGGGGGGGAGGAAGGAGGGAAGGAAAGAGAGGTGTTCCTAAGCTAAAATGTATAGAATGTATCTGATTTAGTGACATTTTAAACTTCAGATTTCATAATACATTAATGTGATTTTCTGATTTCTTTTCTAAATTGCTTTCCTCTTACACAAGTCAATTACATTTGCTAAGATAGTCTAAAGACAGGTTATGGTAGTGTAAGGATCTAGGCTTGTTTTTAGGAGACACCCATCTTGCTCCATTTTAAAGTACTTTTATGAAACTCTGCCACAAACACCAAGCTCTCTTTCTTTCTAAGAAACTGGCCAACACAAGTAAATAAACCTCGATCAAGGAACTTACCCAGGGTCAGATGTCTTTCTCTACAAAAATCACATGGAAAATTATGCACTCTTCCTGTTCTGTGTAAACTGCAAATCAGCATCAATCATGCTGTCTTGATTTGGTCTCCAGTCCTAGCGATGTGACTGGCAAAGCTTCCACGGGCTTCAACATGGCTAACAGCAATCACTGGTGGATAAAAACCAGTCAGTCTTTTGAAGGCAGGCATCTGAGAGCACTTGGTAAAACCAGGCGGCCAGCTCATGTTAGGCTTTCTTTCCGGCACGGAGGGCCTCTGCCTTCATTCAGTGACATTGTCCATGGACCAGAGGTCTGCAGTACACAAAACAGATATGTTTTCCTTATAGGTCTGGCCAGCAAGTCTTGTCTTTCATTATAAAGACAAGTTTATTGATACTGAGACAAGCCAAGTTCCCAGTTCCACTTGTGTTTGAATTCCTGGGCTGCAGCTGAGGCTGTCTGCAAGGATGAAGGGAGCCACTACCAACAGGCTGCTAGTTGAGATATGATGAGTGGAGTGAAAACTTCCTTTTAAATAAGTCAGGCGGAACAAATAGAAAGTCCCTCACCTTTTGCAAGAGTTTTTTTTTTCTCCTAAGCATGAGGGTCATGAATAGGAATGGCTGGCTATTCAGTCATCAACTAGCCCAAATAAAAACTAAACAAAGAAACAGTGACCTGTAGCTTAGAAATATATGCATGCTTTTATGTAACAATCTGGGCCCTCTCTGAATCCTCTGGTCTCCACCCACCTTGGAGCTAGGATAATAGATTTTTGTAGGATGCCCCATCTTGTTATGCTAGGATTTGACTTCTGGTTCTTATGATTGCACAGTAAGCATTTTTGACCACTGAGCAGCCGTCTCTCCAGACCCCAGGACTGAATCTTCTTGAAGACTGTCTTTCTACATATCTGTTGGAGGGCACCTTCTTTATTAACTATTTATTGCGACAGTGAACAAGACCCTCCTTCTGTATGCAGAAAAACCCTTCCACTCAGCCCCTCCCAGGCCTCCCAGGAGCTCCTTGAGTAGGGTGCGTCCTGGTCCTCACCCTACTGAAAACTCTCTGTGTAGGTTTACCTGTAGTTTTATTCTCAACTTTGCAAAGGCTTGGGTGGAAATGAGGAGGTAAAAGTTGGGCCCAGTCCTAATACTTATTCATTATAGCTGCTAGAACTCCATAAATATTGTATCTTTCCCAACAGCTGTTACAATGCAGTGGTAGTTAGTTAACAACAGAAAGGACTAAAATTCACATGAAATGTATTCAAAGTCATGGGCTGGCTGTGTGTGAGCTCTGACTGTGTATGAGCTTCTGGGTGGTGTCTACTTCTCACTAAAAACAGACGTTATTCAGCAAGAATGTGTTCAATACAGCAACATAAAGAAAAACAACCTTTATTTTGGTTGAAACCTTGTCACGGTGACCTGTAGAGAAGTAGATAAAGATGGAGTACACAAGACAGGCATTAAAACAGACAAGACAGAAGAAGCTTACAAATAAACAGTGGCTAATAGCCCCCATCTCGGACCCCCCGCACCCCGTGTGATTTAGTACAGGTCGCCTGACTGTTCTTGAGATTACATGATGGAAGTGGGGGGGAAGGAAAGGGGTACATTCCACAGCTTCAAAGAACTAAGCACAGGGTTTAGGAAGTCATTTTATGGTTGAGAAACTATGCAGAGACCCTAGGATCCAGAGCACTGAGTGGGAGAATGGGGCCATGAAACTGTCTTGAGTTGTTTGATAAGCATGTAAATGTTGACTGGTGACTTACAGAGCTTGAAGGCTACTGCTGCTGGGAGAAACACTGCTGATAACCCAGTAGACGCATTAGAACTTTACACAAACAAGAGGAGTGAGTGAATCTATAACCTAAGACACAAAGATTAGAAGTGTTTTCAAAAGTGTGGTTGCCTTAGCTTCTCCCAGGGTCTATTTTGTAATCTTTTTGTCACAGAGTTATAGAAATATCTGTAATTAAGTGACCAACGGGATAAAGAAAAGGGGGCTTGGTATCATCCTGGGGAACTGTTCTGAACTTTTCAACTCAGATTCCAACAGTGGAAGCATAATGAGAAACAATGCAATTTTCTTTAAAGAAGCTTTTATTTGTTTTTTTCCCCAATCTTGCAGGTACAACAGAGAAGATAGAGAGCTTAAAAAAATGCAGCCAATTAAAAACATACTCTCTGGTAAGTAGGAAAACTAAATAATTCTGACCAGTGTGAGTGGGTACAGTCAATGTGGTCTAGGTTATGGGATTTTGTATTTAAGAACTGCCTTACATATCTACTTAAGACAGTGAGATGAGACCTGCATGTGTGTAAAACTTTTCCCACTATGGCCTCTCGCTTTCATCAGACATGACTTGTTTTAAAAGCAAGGAGGAGGGCGGGGCCTGCGATTCTGTCTCCAAAATGATATTAGTTAAAACAGCATTTTGACACATTTCTTAACACGTACCAATACAGCAGTTTTGGTTTGTTGGATTTTAATTAATTACATGGCTCAAATAATTCGGAAAGTGTAGAAGAACTGAGTTATTGATTGCTGAGATAATTGAGTGGGTGAGGTGGGTGTTTCCTAGCCATATTGACAAAAAAAGTAGCTTTGGTACTATCTGATTTGGGGGGGGGAAATGTTTAAAAAAATTAAGTAGATATAATTAGGCAAGGCTTAATTAAGATAAGGTCATTCCAAGTTGTATTTCCTACTGTTTCTCTTCTCTGTTTTATTTCTGGCTAATCAGAAGTAGAAAACAGAGGAAGATGGAAAATTAGCTATGACAACCAATCAGAAGACTTTCTGCTGCAAAATGTCCTTGTGAACTTTAAATAAATGTAGATCTGACTATGTGTCAACAAACACACTTCCCGCTCAAGTTTATGTGTGCACATACTGAGCACTGTGCCACCACATGTATCTCCCAAGTCAAGACTTCTGGAGCATTTCTATGTCTAACTCCAGAGCAGCTTTCTTCTTCAGAAACCTAATTACTCACTATGACTTGTTTTTATAAGTGAGGAAGAAAGAGAAACCAGAAAAAAAGAAAAGTTACATCAAACATGGTGGTAAGACTGAATTCAATCTAGAAAGGATAGAGAAGGGTGGACTGGATTCAGAGAGATTCAGTCATTTCCTGGCTGGTTTTTTGACATTTGACATATTCTCTCTCTCTCTCTCTCTCTCTCTCTCTCTCTCTCTCTCTCTCTCTCTCTCTCCCTCCCTCCCTCCCTCCCTCCCTCCCTCCCTCCCTCCCTCCCTCCCTCCCTCCCTCCCTCCCTCCCTCCCTCCCTTCCTCCCTCCATCTAGTAACTTGGAAATTTCCAGAATAAATCCTTGCACTGAGATCTCCAGCTACCCCCTGTCTTAGTTAGAGTTTCTACTGCTGAGATAAAACACCATGAGCAAAGCAACTAGGGGAGAAAATGGTTTATTCTGGCTTATACTTCCACATAAAATCGGGACAGGAACTTGAGGAAGGAACTGAAAAGGCCAAAGAGAATTGCTTTTTATTGGTTTGCTCCCCCTGACTTACTCAGCTGTTTTCTTGTATCATCCAGGACCACCTGATTAGGGATGGCACACCCACAGTGGCCTGGATCCTCCCACATCAATCAATAATCAAGAAAATGCCCCTAAAGCTTGATCAAAGACCAATCTAGTGGAGTTATTTTCTCAACTGAGGTTCCTGTTTCCCAAATGAGTGTCGCTTATGTCAAGTTGACATGGAACTAGCTAACATATACCCTCTTCTTACCGTTGTTAATACCTCACAGAAACCTCAGCTCAAGAATTAGGCATGCAGACGCAAGCCTAATTCTTGGCTTTTTCAGTTTTAACTACTTGTGTGCCACCATCGTAGTATAGGTTTTAAACACACATTCTCATACACCGTGTTTGTTGTACGTCTCCTTTAGACATCGAGCCTAGGGATGTCCTCCAATTTGTAGATGTATTGTGTTGCTGACACCATCCAGATCTCCTCTTTAAAGAGTAACCCACATCTCGAAATCAGCATGGCTGATCCCTGATCAAAGGAGGTATTGCTCCAACCTGGGCAGAGTCTCCATCAGCAAATTCCAATGGGATAGGCTAGTGTGCTGCCTCTGCCACGGGAGTCAAGTCTCCAGTGGGCCTGGGACTACCAAGAATTCAGGTAGAAGAAAGATACCGACAGAGGAAGTGTCGTCCATCGTCCCTGGGGAATAGAGGAAGAGGTGTACTTTGTAGTAAAAGTGTGAAGTAGAGACCTGGGAAGAGAAGGTTAAAAAACATCATTTTAGGGGTAAGAAAGAGCAGATACCATTGCACACCAACTAGAATAAGTCAAGAAAGATGTTGGCAATAACAGACACAGTTGAGGTTTTTAAAAGCCAAAACCCTCACACTTTCCTATTGGGAATAGTGTAGCTAGTCTCAAAGACTGTTTTGCAGCTTCTTAAAAAACTTAAAATGTACACTTGCCATATGGTTTGGCATCTGATTTATAGGTATTTACCCAAGAGGAATGGAAATGTATGTTCATATGGAAACTTGTAAGTCGATGCACACAACTGTTCTATTTATCATTTGCCCATAACTGGAGAAAAAGGAAAGCTCCATCAATGGCTAAATGCATAAACAACCTACAGTCTATCAATAAAATGTGAAATTACCCAATAATAAGAGGATGGGGTGTTGGTACATGGGAAGGTGAGACTGATCTCAAAAACATATTGTGCTGAGTAAAGGAAGCAGTTTGGTTAGTTTTGGAAGGCTTCTAGCGACAGAGGGCAGATTAGGGGTACCAGGAGTCAGGGGTGAAGCCAGGGGGGTTATGAGGGTACCTCCTGAAGGATGCTTTGGGGACAGCATGTCTATTCTCCTATATTGTTCTCTATTGTAATGATTACTCAATCTACGTGTATATGGAGTTAGGCTGACCATCAAAAATTGGCATTTTATTTTTACTGTATATGAACTTACAAATTACATTTTTGAAATGTAAATACTTCACATAAGTTGCTCTTTCTAGCTTTAAATATTTTTACTTTATGTGCACGGGCGTTTTGCCTACGTGTGGGTCTATGCACCATGTGTGCGCCTCACGCTCTCAGAGGCCAGCAGAGAGTGACAGGTCCCTGGAAACCGGAGTTACAGACACTTGTGATTGATCCTGTGGGGTTCTGGGATTCAACCCCTAGTCCTCTGCAACAGCAGTCAGTGTTCTTAACCACTCAGCCATCTCTCCAACCCCAAGCTACTACTTTAAAACTTTAAATATTCTTAAGAGAAAGAAGAAAAAAAGGAGGTAAACAGCAAAGTACTCAAAATGGTCCTGAAGGAGTTTATTTATTTATTTTTTATTTCTTGAGGCACGGTCTTGGTGTCTAGCCCTGGCTAGACTGGAATTTTCTGCATAGTTTAGACTGGTCTCAGACTCTGTGGGTCAGACTGGCTTCAGAGGCAGGATCTTCCTCCACTGACAGGATGATACGAAAGAGCCACCAGGCTTCACTCCAAAGGGAGTTCTTCCTGCTCTTTAAGTTTCAGATAAGTGCCTAGGAATTGATCAGTTTCAAGTTCAAATGAAACTTATTTTCTTATATTCGAAATGGTGAATTGTATGAAGAACCGGTGTCTCTAACATGATAGCAACCACGAAAAACTAACATGTTTCCAGTGTGTATTTGTTTAAACAAAGTCTTGGCTAAAATGTGAGCCCATAAAAAATATTTCCTGAGGAAAGTTTAAAGTTTAAATCAACATATTATCTTTGGACATGATATTTGCTAATGAGAAGCCAGTGGCTTAAGTCAGGAAGTTCTCTTTCCCGATTTTACGGCTTTGAAGGTAGAAGTCAGCAACAGAGGCCACAGCAAACTGGAGCAAAATCCATTTGTTTGGGTTTTGCTTTTGTCTGTGGCTCCTCGAACCTGTCAGCCCCCTAATTTATGGGTTTAACCAGCAATCAGAGATCCAGCTTTGCCTCTAACCTGAGGACACACTGCTTCAGATTCTCCTCAGTGTATAGCATAAGGATATCCCTTTATCATGTGTGTCTGTGTGTGTGTGTGTGTCTGTCTGTCTGTGTGTCTGTGTGTCTGTGTGTCTGTGTGTGACATGTACATGGGCATTTATAATTTACCATATCTTTATTTTTAAATGTCTAATGCTAACACTTTAACTTTGAAGCATTTTTGTTTTGTTTTCCTCCGTTGAGATCTTTAACACTCAGGAAAGTTTTATTTATTTTTTAAAATTTATTAAGACTTTCTTTTTAAAAACTCACAAATAAAGAATACTATGCAGTGAAATTACCAGACCCAAAGTCTGTATATATCTCAAAAAATTCATTAAGATTTTTAAAAAATTACATTTTTTAATTTATTTGTGTGCCTGTCGAGGTCATAGGATAACTTGCAAGAGTTGGCTCCCTCCTTCTACCCTGTGAGTCCTAGACATTAAACTCAGATAATGAGGCTTGGCACAAATTCCCTTACGTACTGAGCCATCTCAGCAGGCCCTGTTTAGTTTGTTTGTTTGGTTTAGTTTTTTGTTTGAGTCAGGGGCTCATGTACTCTAGGTTGGCCTCAGCTTGCTGTGTAGTCAAAGCTGGTGTCATATATGGTATTCTGTCTCAGCATCCTGAGACATGATTATAGGCATGTACCTTCTGTCATTTTTGTTTACTAAAATTTCTTATTTTGTTTGTTTACTTAGTGACCCATTCTGTCCTACAGAAAAAGCTGTTTTTCTGTTCTAATGGCTATACCCCAATATTCTGAAACTTATTTTTTCTCTGCTCACACAGCATCTATCAGTTCAAAGAACTACTATTGTGAAAACCACAGTACAGCAAAATCATCTGGCACACAACATGACGTCCTAGAACATGACCACATCAATGATAACCTATGACCCAGTAGCCTGATTTTGTTAATGAAGTTTTATGGAGCATAGCCACAACCCTTCGCTCCTGTGTTTCTCAAGCCAATCTTCAGACCGATGCAACAGAGTGATGTTGTTTTCTGTCAGACACTGGTTAGACACCAATGAGACCAGAAGTACTCAACTGCTGTTTCTTGGCTGAGAAAACATGCCAAATCTTTGGTGAGAATGTAAACCTCAGCCAGGGCTTCATTTTTTGATAGGACAAACTTTATCTTCAACCTTGAGCTTGAGACGTATTTAAACGAAATCTCCGTTCATTTCAGAGGAGAAAACTTTGGGACGCATTAAGTGGAATTTGCAGGTAAGCACTGGGCACAGTCCATTGGGATGCTGCCTTATAGAAGCTGGGATGTAGAAAGGCCAGGGCTGGGACTCCATGATGAAACCCACATGTAATATTTCACAGTCACCAAATACCAAAGCCCTCTGCTCTTCCTCACCTTGTCGAAGGAGCAAGAAAAACATAACCGCAGAACAGGCCCTTGGGTAATAAGGACGGCCTATCAGGTGACATTGGATCCGGGGGAGGCATATATATATAGATATTTTTTAATACTAAATTCCAGCATAGCTTGAAAACTTCATCTCAGAGGCAGGCATGACCTGGAGACTATCAACAAAGCAGTTGACATTCGGAGGACACTCAGAGCAGCGATGCCATCAGATTTCCCAGCTGAGCGGTTTTGTGTGAAAACTAGCAAGGAAAAACAATGCAGGTGCTACTGTCTGTTTTTTATTTGGGAATATGAGTGAGATACACTGACTTCATTCCCATTTTCATTGACGTTAACACTTGCCCTGGTTATGTAGGAGACAGTCTCCATTGCTTTAATGTTTCTGAGCTCCCCCTGGTTTGTTTATAGAATCTGTATGTTAATCCTGGGTCTAGCTGTCCTAGAAGGTACAATACCCACTGCTAATTCTTTGACCTTTGAGGCAGGACATGCCTTTGGTTGCCTTGCAGCACTGGAGTGGTTAGTGTCAGGTTCTGGGCCCTGGTGGCCCTAAGAAGCCTGGCTCAGCCACCATGTGAAACAAGTATTAGAGAAAAGCAGAAAAAGGAGATTTATTCCATGTCCTCCTTTAGAATGAGGCCCAAAGAGGTCCAATCTTCCCCCCACTGTTTCTGTCATCAGCATCCGGAAGTGAGGCTCAGGTCCAAATATAGAACGAGAGGTATGCATAGCTAGGCAGTCCCAGCCAAGGTGTGGCTCCACCCATCACCATTGTCTCAGTTCTAGTCTCTCCTGCAAGGTGGTCTGACAAGCTGTCAGAACTGTGTAATCTCATCTTGGAGACATGCTTCCCCTCTGGCTGGCATGAAGGCCCAGCCTTTTCCTTTTCCTAGCCTAGGACTCTAGGGGAAATTCCAATTCCTTGGGGGCTATTGTTTTAATAGTCAAATAGCTGAAGGGCGGGGCACAAGTGTCTCTTAAGAACATCTCCATTCCTATCTGCAGTTGGAGATATTGATGTGTCCAGGAGAGGGACCATTCATGCATCCTCTTCCATGCTGTGGCATAGCTGCACCAGGCTAGGATTGTAGACCAACTCCACACCGTACCACGAGCATTTCTGTTCACTCCCCCTGCCTCCTTGGACCGTACTGTTACGTGGCTAATGTTCAGATGTGCACTACTGTGGTGAGGTCACCCCTAGGCTTACTCTTGTCTTTCTTATAGTCCAGCTGCTGTTATTTTTTTATTTTATTGAGACAGGGTCTCTCTAAATATCCCCGGTTGTCCTGGAACTTACTATATAGACCAGGCTGGCCTCAGACTCATAAGAGATCCACCTGCATCTGCTTCCCAAGTACTGGGATCAAAGGCATGCCCTACCACCCCCTACATCAAGTTTCTAATGTAAAATAAATAATAAAATAAATAATCAAGGAATTTCAAAAGGGAATTGCTTTCTCCCAGCAGGACTACGGTGTATCTGTGTCTGTTAGAAGTAATTAGATCCATGGAGGGAGACAGCCAATTGACTCTACTGCCATCCTAAAGGGAACTTCAAATGTCACCATGTTCTGTGAGGGAGGTGCTGCTATTCAGGCTTTTGACAACCACCTTTAAGCCCCATACTCTCTTTCCAGGAGAATAGCTGAAGTAACTATGAAATAGAGGCAGGAAAATCTGATTTTTGAAGTTCATATATGAATGTCACAAATATCAAAACCGTGGACTATTTAGAAATGTAGTCCCAGAAAAGTCTGTAGCAAAATTGTCTAGACATTCTAAAAATACTAATTCCCTCCATATTCCCAATAACCCAAGCTGGGAATCTATGAAAGAGAAAGTTTAATAATAGAAAGATCACATATTTAAACACTACTCACAATTCTGTATACACGAGTGTGTTTAATAATAGAAAGATCACATATTTAAACACTATTCACAATTCTATATACATGAGTGTGTTTAATAATAGAAAGATCACATATTTAAACACTATTCACAATTCTATATACACGAGTGTGTTTAATAATAGAAAGATCACATATTTAAACACTACTCACAATTCTATATACACGAGTGTGTTTAATAATAGAAAGATCACATATTTAAACACTACTCACAATTCTATATACACGAGTGTGTTTAATAATAGAAAGATCACATATTTAAACACTACTCACAATTCTATATACACGAGTGTGTTTAATAATAGAAAGATCACATATTTAAACACTATTCACAATTCTGTATACACGAGTGTGTTTAATAATAGAAAGATCACATATTTAAACACTACTCACAATTCTATATACACGAGTGTGTTTAATAATAGAAAGATCACATATTTAAACACTATTCACAATTCTGTATACACGAGTGTGTTTAATAATAGAAAGATCACATATTTAAACACTACTCACAATTCTATATACACGAGTGTGTTTAATAATAGAAAGATCACATATTTAAACACTACTCACAATTCTATATACACGAGTGTGTTTAATAATAGAAAGATCACATATTTAAACACTACTCACAATTCTATATACACGAGTGTGTTTAATAATAGAAAGATCACATATTTAAACACTATTCACAATTCTGTATACACGAGTGTGTTTGCGTGTTTGTTTTGTTTGCTTTGCTTAGGGCCCAGTGATTTTTTAAAATCTCTTAAAAGCACAGACACTGAGATTAAGGAGGCCAATTTGAGATTGTTTTCTTGTTGAAAGAAAGCTATGGATTTAAGATCTGATGACCATAGAGTCAGAGTCATTTCCTAAAAGTTCATCTGCTCCAGTGGTGTCTACACACACACATACACACACACACACACACAAACACACACACACACACACACAAACACACACGGACACAGAAATGAAATCTTCAGCTATCTGTAGTGCCTGATGTTTGACAGTGAGGGAAAACACAAAACTCATCTGCCCTTTATATGTCTTTAATGGGTTTTTGTATTGGTTAATTTTCTTGTAGCTGTCAAAAAATAGCTGACAAAAGCATCTTGAAGAAGGAAGAGTTTATTTTGGCTCACAGTTTTGAGAGTACATAGTTTGAGGCTGATGGCTTGAGGGTACAGTCCATCCTGTGAAGGAAGTCATGCTGATTAGGGATTGAGCTGCTAGTCACATCACACCCATAACCAGAAGGCACAAGAGATGGATTGCTGATGCCCAGCCCAGTGTCTCCTTTTTAATTCAGTTCAGGATCCTCGCCCATACAATGGTGTCACCCAGATTTAAGGAGTGTCTTTTCACCTCAATTAATCGAATCTTGGAAATCCTCTGCAGACATGCCCAAAGACATGTCTCTAGGTGATTCCAGATCCTGTCAAGTTGGCAATCAGTATTAGTGGTAACAGTTATTAATTTAATAGACAGAAATATGATCAGCCTCTCATCAAAAAATATTTATCATCACAGTAATATCTAATATCATTTACAGTATTCATTTGATATGCTCCTCATCCATTGGCTTTTTAGATGGCCAGTCTGGCTATGCTGTTCTGGCTCAGTATCATATTTTTCATTGTGTTGATACCTTCTCTGCTCCTCATTGCCAGCTCACCCCTGGCTCCTGCAGCCTACCTCTCCTCCCTTTGCCTCGTTTGTCACTCTTCCGTAGCTCTGTGTCTGAAACTAGGTCATGAGGCTGTCAAGATGTCAGCTTCAAATTTAGTTCTCAAGTCTCTGTCTTTAAGCAACTTCGTACTTGGAGGACGATTTGCTCTTCCCTGTGGTTAGATGGAACAATTTGAGTGCTCTTTATAGTGTACACGAGTTTTTCTTTGTATGTATCTGCTTAAATGGCTTCTTATAAGCTGCATCAGTATTCACACATGACAGGATTCGGGTTAGCTTCAGAACCTTAAGGTCTTCATAAATTGAAAAAGGGGGTGCAGGGGGCAGGGGCCAGGGGGTAGGGGAAGCACCTTGCAAAAGGAATATGTAGTTAATTTTTGTCACTACATTTAGAAAATAGTTCCAGTCACCAAACACAGCCGACTTTTTACAAATGTAATTATGGCTCTGCCTTGCTGAGGGAAAGTTTTAAATATTAAAAATAAAATGAGCCACAGAAAACTCAAATACCCTCCCCTAGGAACAAATAGTAAAATCTGGTATTCATTAAAATACTTGAATGCTAATGGAAGAGAAAAATGTAAGCCCTGTGTGTCTATTTCTTTGGACCAAGACAGTGTGGTTTCTCAGTTTTCTCAAGTCCTGGCCAACTTAGGATCTGGTGAGACTCTTTGGAGACAGGAAATGTGAGGTTGATGTAAAATACAAGTGAGTGAAATGGTTTAGGGCTGCCTTGTGCTGTATTTTGTCTTGGACTTCCTGTGGAGAAGCATTTTCAGAAACCTATTCCTCAAGTATTGCCCAACCTCCGTTGTGGCTATGGACATGGAGAAAGGGGTCTTGAAGAAGCAGAACATGTGTGAGTTTTGAGGGTATGGACCGTGGAAATCAAAGCACCATGAATGATGATGACCTCCTCCTCCAGTACCCTTGGTCCCCACACCCACCTCTAGGTAGACCAGTTGGCAGAGCAGGACTGACCTCAGGAATTTCTTCATTTCAGTTGGCTATATTATTAACACTATGCACAAAAGTCATTTCATCTGATTTACCTTCCCATCTTAACCCAAATTTCCATTAGTTTTGATTCAACTCCAGAAAGATTAAAACAAAACAAAACAAACAAAAACCAACCAAAAAAAAAACCTGTCAGCTATCAATGCTTCAGAGAAAAATTAGTTGACTCCTTTTGCCTTCCCCATAATTCCTAGTTGATACCACTGCCAAAAGGATATAAGACT